CCCTTGGTTAGTTCAGCCCTGAGAAGAGGAGGTTGAGGGGAGGCCTCATGGCGGCCTGCAGCTCCCTCATGAGGGGAGCGGAGGGGCAGGCACTGAGTTCTGCTCTCTGTGGACATCAACAGACCTGAGGAAATGGCACAGGACAGAGGAGGGTCAGGCTTGTGTTAGGAAAAGTTTCTTCACCCACTGAGAGGGTGGTCAGACACTGGTCTGCCAGAGTTCAAGAAGGACAGTGCTCTTAGATGTATAGTTTAAATTTTGGTCGCCCTGTGCAGACCTAGAGTTAGACTCAATGATCACTGTGGGTACTTTCCAACTCAGGATATTCTGATTCTATGTTTCTGCTTTAAAAAAAAAATGTTTTTTACTATATGCTTTGACAGCTGAAACTAGAATAAGGGCTTGACTTACAAGAAACAGGATAGAATAACAGAATGTCCACACATACAGAATGCGGTACACATAAAGGAAAATGAAGCTCCTTAAAATAACAACTTATGAGTCAATATTAGCAATTAAGGCTATGAGCACATTTTAAGCATATTTACACAACAGATTCACTGATACACCAGACAGCTCACTACAAGAAGCATAAGAGCTCATTTAGTGGAGTGTTTCATCCAGGGTAGTTTATCTGCTTCACAGCTAATCCATAAAGGTAAAGTATTATGCTAAGGCAGGTGTCTCTCTTGCAGGTATTAAGACAGGTCACTTAAAGAGTAAACTGCATCATGACAGACAGACAGACATATTCACAGCAAACAGACCTTACAACACAGAGATATATTTCCATGTGCAGAGAACAACTTGAATTCCAGTAAATCAGGTAGAAAGTGAATTAATAAAAAATATTTAAGTAGTTTGTCCTTCAATTTGGATTTTCAGAAAAGCTTCATGAAGACATAGGTGTTTAAAATTATACATAAGGGACTTCAAAAATCAGATTACTATCATGATGTAAGCCAGCTGACCATTATTTGTTTACTCTTGAAAGTCATGAATTGGAAGATGAGTTTATCAAATTGATGTTTTTAAAGGTATGAAATTAGTTTTCATCATAGTACCTATACAGAATGGGCCATACCCCCAGTTACTAACACATCAGATTTTGTTGAGACCAGGTAATAGGAAACAGCTGTGTCATATACACAGGCTAGTAGAAAAGATGATACAATATGTGCATCTGAAGTTGGTATGCAAAACTGTATGAAATCAGCATATTTCTTGTGAAATGAAACAATGCAACAAACAAAGATGAATAAGAAATAGTAATCAAGGTTTTTCATTATGCAGATCAGAAGATGTTGTGTACTTAACAGAACTTGAGAAAGGAGTTGGTGCATTTTACTCTAGTCTTAGTTTTCCATCTAATCAACATGTAAACTGTGAATTTAACTGGTATTCCAAGTCAAAGAATGAATGAAGATGTCAGATAACAAAAGACACTACTATGAGTGATATAAAGGCATTACCAGCTAGCATCAGAAATACACCAGTTACTGTTGCCACTTAAAGAAAAAAAAAAAAGAAAAAAAAAAAGAAAAAAAAAAAAAAGGAAAAATAAAAATGCTGTATGACTTTCTCCGTTCACAGAAAAATAATAGGCTTAGTGTCAGGGACATAGTGTCAGGAACTTTTAGAGAGTAACCAGCATAACTACTTATACTCAACAATCACAACAAGCAAGATGAAGTTTTCATATGTATGGAGTAATCACAGCTATAATTCCACACCAAGAATGACAATTCAACACCATACACAGTTCATCTCATTCAGAACACAAGTTCTCCAGACAAGATCTCCACATAAATACATGATAAATAAATAGATCATCAATTTATGGAAGTACAAGAGAAAAATGACACAGAGAAGCCTCCTAACTAATGAATAAATCTCTCTCCTTGCTCCTTGTCTTTGTGAATATGTAAAGATTCCAGTTCTTGATATCCAGTTCTCAGACTGGAAGTGAAAACCAAATGTTCTTTCAGATAAAGGAAAAGACTAATAAAGAGTTGAGATATATTACTTTTTTTTTTTTCTTTTTTCATTTATACCTGCTGTGTTACTCTACAAAAGTTCTTTCAGCAATTCTCTCTCAAAGATTCTCGAACCTTTTACTACTTTCTTCAGTTTTCCCTAAATAGGACCATACCAATAACTATTGGGTGAATTCCAAGTACCAAAATAGAACTATTCTTTTCTGTTTTCAATGTACCAAGCTCTTACATTCTGGCCCTGTTTGAAAGACATGGTAAAACAATAAAATCACAGTATGCTCATGAAACATTTGACACAAAAATGGGAGGTATAAATCTAAAGTAAGCATTGTACTCTGAATACTCTTGATGAGCTGTAATTACAAAACAACATATCATAAGAGACATACTAAGTATTGCTCTAAACATAGATACACCTTATTAGGAAACACAATAGTTATTATGAAACACTGTAGTTAAACATTCATTATGACAGGACTGTTATGACATAAAAATCTTCTTAATAAGGCACTCTGGATGGAACCTATTAATTTAGTAGCATACAGCCCAACAGTTTCACAAAACTGGGACTGAAAAATGCATACCTGTACAGTGCCTAAATTATAATCTGTACTGAAAATACATATTCAGCACTAAGCTGCAAAATTCTCTACAGAATCACACTTTCGGCAACATTATTTTATTTTACATGATAGACAAATTGAATTTGCAAAAGGCTCTTCTACTTTTGAATACCTGCTTTTCTGTCTTTAGTATTCATCAAGTGATTATGTTTTTAACTTAGATCTTTTCCCCTATATGAAGTATGGTGTTAGAAAATGCTATCACATATTTAGAAAGTTGTTCCGCAATATGAAGAAAAAAAATCTATAGGTTGTCTTACACAATCCTAAATCTTTTATTTCTAAATTTATGTCAATATTTGATTATACAGGTTACAAGGTATTAAAAAATCTGAAGGCTAATATAGAGTTGTGTGTAAAAAACTTTATACAAAAATAGATTCCTCTGCTCAACATAAAATGTATTTGTAATGCTTTACAATTAAGACAACGCTTCTAAGTACATGAGGTTTCTGTAGCGCTGGTCACAGAAACGGACAAGTGAAAAAAAAAATCAGCTATAATGGTCTAAAATGTGGTGCTTCTGTTTGAAAATAAGCATTGTTTCCAATTCTGTTAGAGAGATAAGGTGGTTGAATATCTAAAAATAAATAAATAAATAAATAAGGCTTCTAGAAAAATGTGTCTTTCCTACAGAATATAACAAGACACGTTTTCAAAACATAAGTAGAAACTCAGCCATAAAACTACTGGGATCCTCATGTCAAAAGTACTGTGCATCATGCTGAAAATGTCTTTTAATGATAACAATAGGGTTAAAACTTTCAGAACATATACATAAATATTTCACATGAAGTGTTTCACAATATAATATTTGTAATTTATTCTCAACTGTAAATCCTGTGCTTTCTGATGTATCCTGTTACAAGAACACCTCAGAAATTAGCTTACTGTTTAGTATATAGCCCACTAAAATCTACTGTTCTTTCAAGAAACTTTCAACATAAGTCTGCCTCTTTAAAGCACACTTTTAAAGAAGGCACACAAACAAAATTAATCATTAAAGAATGTGTTTTAGTGTTGTCTATATTACTTCAATATTTCTTGCACTTTATGTACAGATGATCTTGCTAAATTACTTATAAAGTGGTTTTTAAAAATATTACCTCTCCCTTTACTACAGGAAAGATACAACCTCTCTAAAATGAAGTAGATAGTATCAAAGAAAGATGGAGAACCCTGGTATCAACTACAGTGTAACTGAGAGAGAAAAATATGAAGATTCTACTGTGTACCAGAGAATGAAATCATTTCAGCCTTGGGGCTGAAATGAGATTGCATTATCAAGTCAAACATTTGCTTTCAAAAATCATTGCTACAGACAAAAAAAAAAAAAAAAAAAAAAAAAAAAAATTATTAAAGGGAAGTTTGGGATAAAAAACAGTACAGTTTATATTTATTATATATAAACCATAAATATATATACTATGATATTATATAATATATATATTTATAAAAAAAATAGTAAGAAATTTTAAAAGGGACTACGAAAAATCTTAAAATGATATTTGAAGAATGACATTTGCAGGAACTGCTGATTTACTGTTCTGACTGTTTTTGTGTTTGTTTTTTTTTTCTGTTACAGAGAGAGTCAAAGTTATGACATAATTTTATATTTATCTGAGCATCTGGAGTCAGTTCCAATTACTTAACAATGAAAAGGTAAATATAGAAGGATTTTTTGACAAGAGACTTTTTCCTGCTTGTCTGTGTTGAAGAAAATAGATAAAAAGTGATGTAAAAGCAACAGAGTCCTGTATATCAGATCACTTTATAATTTAGCAGTCATATTGAGGTCCTTAAATCTAAAAACTTGTTTCCAAACATATTCAAATCAGGGACTCTAAATTATGTGATGTATCTCAGGGATTTTTACTTAGCATAGTTAAAAAATAAATATTCTAGTACCCTATTTCTAAGACTCTAAACTACATCAAGTAATATGTTATTTTTTTTTAATATGTAGAGGCCCATTTTAGACATCTATGATTAACATGGGCAGCTAAGTACTCAGTTTGTGATTAAGCCCCACAGCAACAAATGAAACATGCTAACAACATAAAATGTATCGGCCCCTTTCTTTGTAAACACAGTACAAATGGGAAAAGGCATTACATAAACTTGCTAAACTCTGAATGTGTAAATAAAAGGAGAAAACTAGCTAATATACCCAATACTTGGTGGCATAACAAACTGGAGACAGAGCATGGCAATGCAGAAAATTAATATTGAGAGCCCTCATCACTGATTATTCTTCTGTACATGACAAAGTTATATTATAAGAATATGAACGTAAGAACATTTTTGTGACTTTTGACAATTATTAGTAAGAAAAAGATTATAACAATTGCCAAAAAAATCACAAAAGTTGACATGTTACCTGGCTATGACAAAGAGCACACAACTGACACCCAAGTAAGCCAGCAGAATATACATCCAGATATCAGGGGAGAGAGGATTCAGGAAGGAGAAGACGCCCGGGTTTGTACCATTGGGCTTGCGGTACAAAATACTTATTCCAAGAGTCATAAATGGCTTGGAAAAGTCGATGACTTTCTCTCGGACATAGGTAATTGCCAATGGTGCAACTGCAAGGTCAGCTTTCTGTTGACAGAAATAGAAAAAGAGAAATAGGCTGTAAGTCAGAAGAAACATGTTGAAGCAAAAAAATCAGATTAGGCAAACTCAAACTTTATACTGAAGAGGTTTGTTCTTGCACTAGTTAATCTGAAATTTAAAACTCTCCTCTAATTAGGGAAACCAATTTATTTTACTTCTTGTTTGCTAAATCAATATAGCAACATTTAAAGAGAATTTTAAAAACTATTAAAGGTATAAGTGAAGAAAAATGTTACATTTTGCAGAAAACACGAACATTATCACATCTTTTTAAACTTCTTAAAATGTACATAACAATGTATATCTTTATGTTGTCACTTCTTCAGTGAGCTCTTAAGAAACTAATATACTTGTGAAGCAGATACATATATGGTTGTGCCAGCATAAAGCAAGGTCAAGGAAGCAGTTTTGCATATTTTAATGTAAAAGTACTGGTCCAAAATGGAAAGCATTTTAGAATGGGAAGTGCTACAACTAAAAAGTTGTTACATGGAATAAGTTCTAGTAAGGTATGACTGTCCTTACCAGTTTTCGGAAATCATTAAAAAAAACATTTGTGGATAACTGACTATTAAACAGTTGCACCAGTTAAAATGAAATCATGCAACAGAATGCCTTTTGCCAATTTACTTTTAGTTTTAGTTATTTATGACAATAATTCATAGGAGATTCGTAAATGTTCTGTATCACTTGTTATTCAAAAAGTAATGGAAATCAATGTCAAGAAATCTACAGCATTTACATTTCAATCAACAGCTAACAGTTCAGTTAACAGCTGTTAAAAGCCTGTACATACTGTACATTTGTGTATGAGCACACATGCATGTGTGAAAGTGGGAAGTTCAGAGTGTGAAAATATACAGTACAATACTTAGCCAGCTGCAGACTAAGATTTCTTCATAAAATGTATATAAATACAGGTACATAATCACAGAGATGGTATAGCTACTTTGAAATAATGTTATTCAAATAACCCAGCTGCAGATAACACCATGTTCAGAATGTTCATCGTAAACCAAGATTAACAGTTTTATTCCCAGTAAAAAAGGTATAAATTCAAATATTTAAATATTTTATTTTACTCACATTGTATTTTATATATTGTACAATACTCAAATCCACACAGTTAGAGCACTTCATTGTTCCATTTTTTGTTGTTGTTGTTTACTTTTCTTATGAGCATTTATCATATCATCAGATCTATTCTGGTAATGCACTGTTATGTAAAAATGTGAAACTCTGTTGACACTGTTCATTTAATTTAGTAAGGGCTCAGTGGTCAAAAACACCACACACTTCATTTCCACTGTTATTCAGAACTTATTCAGAACTTAAAGCTTGCATATTATGGATGATATTCCAGATGATGCAGAAAGAAAATAGCAGAGCAAGAATATAAAAATAACTTGAATTAAAAATTACAGGGCAACTCAAGTTGTGTTTGAGCAACACAACTCAAAACTTAGACCAAGAGGCAAGTAGTAGACCTTAGTCTTAATCTGAAACCAACTCACTAGATATTGTCAGAAGATACATCTGCCCAAAGATACAGAAAATAGATATTTTGGAAAGCTATTGCCAGTTGTGGATTTTGGTCTTAAAATTTGAACTGAGCCTTCATGAATAATAAACCATTTATTTTTAAAAATACTGTAGGAAATCCAACCCATGATTATTAGATGAAAACAAAGCAGTATAAAAGTGAATGTAAGTTTTAAGAATCTCCGGTGGAGCAAAGCTCTAAGGAACTTGCAGATGAAATAAGAAAAATAACATAAGAATAAATAATGCATGTTTTATATGACAGAACAGGACAATCAGATAACCCAACCTGGGAAGCACAGACCAAAAATACAGATCCCTATCCTGATATCCTAAGATCTTCAGAATTCAGAATGAACACTTTGTGACTGCAATAGCCAAGGGGGACATCTCTGCCAGTTTACGCGACTAGACATTGCCTTTTAAGATTATTATTTTTTTCTATTTCATTTTTTAAATATTTAATCATGCCATTGTCATTTCATATACTTTGTCCTATATTCTCTTAATACCTCCAAAATCTGTGGAAAAAATGTGAGGGAGCAGGTAACAACAATTTTGCTTGGCACTATTGTACAATCTGTGGGATGAAGAAAATATTTATATAAATAAGTTATTTGGTTAAATTCTAACTCCTTAAATTAATTGTAAATATTTGTTAATAGCAAGTCCTATATTTATTTTAAGAAGGTACAATATGATCACTGAATATGACCAGTTCACTTCAGAGAATGACAGAGTAATTTACATCCAAAGGGCATGTGGAGCTCACCTAAGTTCACTTACTGTTCAAAGCAAGACCAACTTAAACGTTCAACCAATTAACATCATTTCCTGACACTGTGGAAAACAACATACAAGAATGGTTTCCTAGAACTTATATTTCATAAAGCAATTAGTATAAACAAAAAGCACCAGATGAAGGCAATATATCTTTGTGTCAAAAGAAACAAAAGGAAAGAGAAATCATTTCTTTTGATAGGAAGAAACCTTTTTCCTTTGAAGTATCTTCATGATTGCAGTATCTCTGAGGGCAGAATTCATAATTTTAGATAAAATACAAATAAAAACAAAATAAGAAAAAAATGCATTTACCTTATACTATTCCACATGCGGCAAGTCTAAATTCTAAGAATGATCTACGTATTCAAGGTGAAAATCATTTTTATTTTGGCAACTATCTTTGTCAATCTGACTACGTTATTGAACTTGCAACTCCACAGATATAATAATATCAGTTCCACTGTCCAAACAGATAACAATATTGTACACCTGAAGTCAAATAGAGGACAAAAATGTGTTAACAAATGGATTGATTTTGCAAAATACACATGCTGTGTCCTGCCTAGCGTTAGCATTTTTTCAGATATAATCTACCAGTGACTATAACTGGGACATCTTTTTGACTTAGGGCAAGACTGAATCAGGGTAGATATTAGGCAAAAAGCAAAAAGGTGCTAGAATGACTGACATCCAAATGTAATACTGCAACACTAAATCAATTGTGCTATTTAGATACACAATATCTCTGACATACTCAATTCTTTTGTCAACTATTTCACCAATAATTGAAAGTAAGAGAAATAAGGGGCCAAGTTTCCAGAATTGCACTACTAGGGTCTCTTCTACAATGGAGAAAATATGAGTAAGAGAATTCTCTTCATTTAATTTCTCAGGATGAAATGGAGATGAATGGTATACAATTAGAATGTTATCAATTTAAAGGAACACAAACAAATGAGTACATCCTAAAATGGATTTCTGATAAGTTCCACAACAAAGAGTACTTCTCTCACTTTACAACAGAACCATGCATGGCTATATTTTAAAGGAAAAAAAGCTTTATCTGAAAGATAGTCCTAAATAACACTTATTCTTTACCTTAGAGTACTTGAGATTAAGACCTTTTTATGGCAGCATCCAAAGAATGGTGAGGATAAGCTAATTGCTGAAGAGAGAAATTCTGCACCAACTAAAGGTTACAATAGAAATTAGAAACAAGTAGTTCTGACAAGGACCTTCCAACACAAAACACAATCCCAAGGAAAATGGAAGTATTGCAGCAACACAAACAGTAACCATATGATGGAGTTGCACGCTGCTACATTAGATGGAAGAGACTGGAGAAAAGCACTAATCAATAAAATCTTACTTTAATTACATCAAGTGTGAGGAAATCAGAATCCTCCATTCACCTCATCATTCAAAGATATGGCATGATAAACTGAAGAACGGCAGTCATACTGTGTCCATCTTGGTAATTTTTCAGAGAGGTTCTCTAGCAAGGAAGAGAATGCCCAGGACAAGGAAGAAGAAACAGAATTTATCATACTCTACAGCACAAGGTTCAAAGTCAGATGAACCACTGAGAGCTATTCCCACCCTGCTTTATTAGAAGTGCATCAGATATACATTTGAATGGTTATTTTTTTTTTTCCAATTTTCACACTCCATCATGAAGGGTAATAATATTTTTTCCTTTCATATTATCATATGCACACAGAATTACACATACTCTTTACTTCACAGCTGTGGAAAGTTTTTCCTATCTTGCTGCCACGTGCAGTTGTAAGATGTTCTCTCACCAGCAAACACCTTAAGGCATATGGGATTTACTCCTATAACAGAAGCCCCTATCAGAATGATTAGACTTTAATACATATATATAAACATATACCCTGAGAATCTCAATGAATCTTGAAATTCAGGTGTCTTAGGCTTTAATTAGAATTGATCAGTATTATAAAATAGTATTTAAAAAAAAAAAAAAAATTAGAGAACTCTGTACAATATGAAATAAAAACTGAAGTGTTTTCATATTACATATATTTTCATAGAATATCATACAATTGTTTATGTACACTGTAATTATAAAAGAATGGCTCCTGCTGAAAATGTTAGCAGTTATTTATTCACTTGATTCAAATTTAACTCTGTGCTACCTAGGGTGTATGTAAGCTATCTCATTTGAAAAACATTTTATATTTACTTAAATTCAATAAAGATCATCCAAGTATTTGGTTTGGGTTGTAAGGGACCTTTAAAGATCATCTAATTCCAATGCCCCTGCACTGGAAGATATAGGGACACCTTCCAATAGACTGGGTTGCTCAAAGCTCCATCCAACCTGGCCTTAAACACTTCCAGGGACCTATCTACAACTGGGCAGCCTGTTCCAGTGCCTCACCACCCCTATAGTATATAATTTCTTCCTTATCTAAATCTTTCAGTTTAAAACTGCTATCCCTTGTACTATCACTACACGCCTGGTAAAGAGAGTCTTGTAGTCTTCCCGTAAGTGCTAGAAGGCTGCTATAAGGTCTCCCAAGAGTCTTCTTTTCTCTAGGCTGAACAACTCTAAATTTCTCAGCCTGGCTTCAAAGGAGAGGTGCTCCAGCCCTTTGATTACATTCATGGCTTTCCTCTGGACCCACTCTCTGTTG